CAACGATAGCTAGTGAAATGGAAGTGGCACCTGCATCAGGGAATAGCCAAAAGCTGTTCCAACTGATACGTAATACGGGAGACCAGCGAGCCGCAGTTAGTAAAACAATCTGCAATAAAAGTGGGCAAGCTATTCACAATAGGGAACAACGGCNACCGATAGGGCGAAGCACTTCAAAGAACAGTTCAGTTGGCCAGGCGCTAACCAGATTATCTCCTCTGGTGTAGCTGTGGCTCCGTGGGAAGTGAACTTCTTACTGACGCAGAAGTTCGTCCTTGCATCCAAACCCTGGAGAAAGGAAAAGCAGCAGGACTGAGCGGGTTTCCGCGCACTCTTTTCAAGATGGGGGGCGATGACCTCGTAGACGCCATTACTGATACAATGCGTAACATCTGGTCACACGAGGGCATTGCATCAGCCTGAAGCGCATCACTGATCGCTCCAATTTTTAAGAAGGGACCTCACGACTGCGCGAACCGCCGTCGAACAAATTTGATCCCAATCGTCACCAAGTTACTAGCCTCTATCATACTTTGAGGTCTGACACCGTTCAGGGAGACAAACATTCGCGAACAAGCAGGATTTCGACCCGGTCGCGGTTGCATCAATCAAATCTTCACCCTCAAGCTAGGCCATACGCATCGTCGACCAACGGTTGTTGTGCTGCTTGACTTAAAAGGAGCCTTGAACTCAGCTGATGTGAATCCTTTATGAGTTTGCTCTTTCGCAGAGGAATGCCACAGAAGTACGTGAACATACTTATTTCACTCTACTCGCATACTTCGGGTAGCGTGGGAGTCTACGAGTTGAGTAGATCGTCCGTAACTACCGGCGGTGTTCTTCAAGGGTACTCTATTTCGCCACTCCTGTTCCACTTCGTCATAGACGAGAACGCACTAAGTGGTCTCTAAAATGTAGGCATTGAATGAGCAGCTGGAGAAAAGCTGTGCGATTGGGAATACTCTGACGGCATCTGCTTGTGCAAATGTATGGAGGACGCACAAAGAACACTTGACAGATCAGCAAATTTTGTCGCCCCGTTCGGTATGTGCTTTGCACATTCAAAGTGCAAGAGTGATGTTACAAGACTGGGTGTCGCCGAGTTCCGTTTTGAAACTAGACGGTCAGGGATTAGCTGAAGTTGACTGCTTCTTGTACTTAGGTAGCTGCGTGACAAACGACGGCAGCGCATCAAAGGAGACAACCACACGCATTTACAGAGCTCGAACAGCGCTTGCAGGACTTAAATACCTGTGGCGGCGACGTGACGTTCCATTGATGTTGAAAGTCGCGTAAACTGTGTCACCGTACGATCACTTCTGCCTTGCGGCTGGGAGACGTTGAATGTGCGGATAGAAGACACCCATCGCCTAGTTGTTTTCAACAATCGATGATCACGCAGTCTGAACCAAGTGGGATGGAGTGAGCGGGTTTGTAACCTAAAAATAAATCGTGTGTTTGGGAATGTATCGAACAAAAACTAGCTATCGCATCGAATTCAGCTCAATAGGCTCCGTTGGATAGGGCACGTTTTGCGTATGTCTGACGGTTGCCTACCACAACCTGCCTTAGTCGCAAGCCGGAAAAAGCCGCGTGGAGGCCAGCAGATAACGTGGAGACGAGGCATGAAGAAATGCACAAAGTGATTAGGTAAAGTACGTGTATCTCGTCTTCCGGGACGGGGTTCAAAAGAATCCGAAATCGCATGGTCGGAGATACTGAAGGTTATGGCTGGGAACCTACAGCAATGACGATCATGCTGTTACTTCTTATCGGGCCACGAGAATCACCGCCCACCTTAAGAAGATTAGGGCTAAGCCCATCAGGTCCGACTGCCTTCCCTTCCTTTAACGATTGAATGCAGCTTCGTGTTTCCAATTCTGATGAGGGCTCACGTGTTATCACCCATGGGGTTTCCGCCGCAATTGCTGAAATGACCGCATTAGCACTGGGCCAACTGGACTGTCCACCAGAATACTGAGCCCAGCGATCAAGTTCTTCTTTATTGTGGATAGTCTGTCCACTTTTATCGCAAATGGTCTCACTGACCGGTGTACGATCACCTCCGGTGCCGCGCATCAGGTAGAACAGTTTTGACTACTCCGTCCACCTGACTAGCTATTTTGGCCCACCGATTTTCGCAATCCTTTGTAAGGCTTTTCCTGGGTTGACATTGCAGGTGCCACCGGTCCCTATATTGATCTGGGCAGATTGGGATTTTTCGCTTTTGATCCATCTATTCTGAGAGAATCAATGTCTTCGGAGAACTTCGGTCTCAGCCCCACAAGCATAGTGCATCGCAAATCTAATCGAATTCCACCTAGCTATGTCGCGGTTTTCCTACCTCCTGTCCCATCTCCTCATAACGTGCGCAGACAGATGAGCTAACTGAGGCGATTTCTACCGATGACCGATGAGTCGAAGAGATAAGCGTAACAGAACTAGTGCATGGTCCGACGTAATGCAAGTGGTCTAATATGACCCGCAATTTCGTACTGAACCACGCTAAAGGTAGCTTAAAACTATATGGTCACTCTGGGTCAACTTTCCCGTTGAACTAGAACGCTACGTAGCCGTTTGACGAGAGCTGTGTCGAAAGTTGGTGCTAGATAAGAACCACCGATCATCCGCGCAAAACTGAAGTAATCGATCACTGTTTTCTGTTTGCTGGGCGGGGAGAGCGAAGTGGCCTCCTAAACAAGCTTCGGATGCGCTCAGTTTTCCAACCTGCGCGTTAAAATCACCTGTCAGCACTATAATATCAGAGGCTTAACCGAATGACTTCAGCGAGTTTGTCGTAAAATTCGTCCTTTGGTGAAGTGGGATTGCAGTTGGTCGGTGCATATGCAGAATTAATAAACACTTTTTGGTGTTGCTGCTCTTCCGAACACTAACTGAACTCTGGAGCCTCAATGCGCAAAAATGACTATTGACGGATATCCAATCTATCATCGAGGTCACACCTTTTTCGTTTAGTGCGATCCCTACACCACGCTGACCCACTGAGTGGGTTTCGTCGTCTCTTGATGTACGAAGGAAATACCACGAGGACTCAGGTGGCTTATGATACTAGGATCCTGAATTCGTCTCCGATACGCAACAGACATCAATTGCTCAAGACTTCATTGTACGCGCCAGACACGCTTGTTGACCCACCTGCATGGATCCTTACGTTGAAGGCCCTTAGATTGAGGTTGACGGGGTTTCAGAATCTGCACTTTATTTACAGAAAAACTATCTACAGTGCTATTTGGCAACGACCTCTAGCGAATGACGACCAATTTGTCTGAGGGAATGTTACGAGACGAAAGAAGAGGGTTGGGTAGGGAAGACAAAGAGTTCAACAAAGGTTGGGATGTCCGAGCAGTAGCTCATCTATCACCACCCACCCCACTTGATGCAATGGGCAGCGCGGTTCTGATTATCCTGCACGGCGAATATATATATATA